ATATATATATATATATATATATATATATATATATATATATATATATATATATATATATATATATATATATATATATATATATATATATATATATTCACTTTGATCTCTGTGTACACTGATTCACACACAATAATATTCAGGGGACTGTACTCTATTGGTTTATTTCATTGGAAAGATTATATTTACAACACGATTTCAGACTTCCTCGTCTCGCTACGACCTAATTACAACTGAATTTACATATCAGCGGATTAGCCTCAATAATGGTATTAAATTTATCAATCAATTCTCTCATCCTCCATGAAGAAAGAAAAGATGTAGTGACAGTGTATACACTCTTTCTTGCATTTCCACTCTTACATTTATGAAATTCTCTCAACCCTGTCGGATACATGTACTCACTTTGCCACCTCTTCCAGAAATGTTCATAGCACTAGCATCATGTTTTAACTACTTCATAAATAATAAAATGCATTTTTCCTTTTGCAGCATACATCACCTCACCAAATCTGTCATTGAGGAATTAAATGCTGAAAGGCAAACTGAATCAGAATATGAATCAGAATATGAATCAGAGTAGGTGTTTTAGAGATTTTAAAGCATAATTATGATGGGATTTATGGGTGTTTTAGTCATGCTTTCTTATAGTTGAGAGCTGATATATCATACATAAATTATTATTAATCAAGTACCAGTATAATGGTTATTGAATGTTGCCTCTGGATGTCAGCAGGTGTCCTGTGTTCATTTGGGAGTACAACTTGTACCATGTAAGGGTTGAATGCAGGGACTTATAATTATCTAATCCCAGTACCAGAATACCCTGAGAAAACCCAAGGTGCCACAAATCCAAAGCTCTTTTCATTATAACAACTTGAGCATTAATCATTCTGTAACAAAAATTACAACAATTAAGTCCTTTAACAAATGAATATATGTATTTTATAGCTCAATGAATGACAATAGGGATGACTCGGATGACGATTATGAGGGTGATGATATTGATGATTTGGAAGACGATATATATGCAATGCCCGATGAACAGCCATGTGAACAACCAGGTGAACAGCCATGTGAACAACCAGGTGAACAGCAAGATGGACAGTCAGGAGACAGAACTATTTTAGAACAGTCTCATAACACCCAGACGTGTTTTGGACCACACCAGAAACTCAGCAGGGGGGATGCGATATACGAAATGAAAGAAGAGGTTTCTATGGTGCAAGAACCAAAATTTGTCTGCTCTGCTGATATGTTTCTTGCAGTTCTTCGAGCTAGATGCCAGACACCTGGGTGCACTGACTTACCAGATATTAAGCATCACTTTGTTGGACTTACCCTTGTTGTGAACTACTTGTGCTCATCAGGGCATAAGTTTAAATTTTCATCATCTCGCCGGGTCAATGATATTTATGCCAACAATCTACAGGCAGCTGTCTCCATCATCCTATCTGGAAGCAACTATGCAAAAGTTGAACGCATGGCAAAATTTTTTAAACTTGAATTTCTGTCCAAGTCAACCTATTACAGATTCCAAAGGTTGTATCTGATTCCAGAAATCAATGATTGGTGGTCTTGGATGAGGGGTGAAATCATGAAGGAATTTTATGGTAAAGATGTTGTTGTACCAGGTGATGGTCAGTGTGACTCCCCAGGCTTCAATGCCAAGAATCTTTGCTATTTCATGATGGAGGTAAATTCAAACTATATTCTTGACATTGAAGTCTTGGACAAGAGACATGTCGGCCTGGTCTCCCCAAACATGGAAAAAGAGGCAGTTAAGCGAAGTCTAGAGAGGCTTACTGAAGAGATAAAGGTGGTTGAGCTTGTGTCCGATGCATCAACATCAGTGAAAGCATTAGTTGGTAAGTTATAAAATAGAACAATAGCTGCTTTTGTCCAATTCCATCTTCAATCCTGTGTTTGAAGAAAAAATATCAAATGCAAGAAATGTATCAGATTATAAATTTGATTTGAAACACCAAACAGCTAGTGAATTTTAAGAAACCAGGTACTATTTAACCCTTTAAGTGGGAATGCACCCTAATGTGCCCTACTTTATTATTTTACTCTGTCTAATGTTAGATGAATAATGGTTATTTTCTATTTCAGAATCCCAATACAAAGATATTGTGTACAGTCTTGATGTTTGGGACAAGTCTAAAAGCATTAAGAAATGTCTGGCTAAGGTTTGTCTGGACCATTGAACAATGGGGCACTTAGCTAAGTATTGACATTTTGCCTTGTTTTTGCATATATTGCTTGCAAGTTGCATATTAAATGTTTTTGACAAAGCTTCCAAAAGAGCTTCAAAATGCATTATAGTACTTTATTGGAATTTGCCTACAGCAAAATGCAATTAGCAAGGGAAAAAGTCCAAGTGGGTAATAATGAACTGTCGTTCATATCAACTTACAGTACTGTTATGTGTCTTTTAGCTGGGTAAACCAAAAGCGATGAACAAAATCAAGGATTGGTCAACCCACATTGTCAGACATTTCTGGCACTGCTCCAGCACATGCCGAAAAGATGAGGACATCTCTGATGACGAAGCACTTAGACTTATGAAGGTACTTATTTGTAATGAACTTTCTAATTTGTACTGAAACTTGCCAGCTGGGTATATCTGTTTAAATCTTAATGTGGGTTGTCAGGGTAGATAGGGGATGTAGTAAATAACCTTCAGTGTGGGTAGTAGCTATTTGAAAAATTGACGTTTCGAGCATAGGCCCTTCGTCGGGAAGTTAATTATTACCAACACTGAAGACTGAAGTTTATATCTGTTTAAAATTTGTTTAGGATAAGTGGATTGGATTGCTCCACCACATTTGCAATCAGCACCAGTGGCTTGGTGGTCAATGTGACCATGATGAAAACTTTGATCATGATGAAGCTCTCACTTGGTTTGATCATCGGGACAAAGATTTTATTGAGCTGCAAAAAGTCATTTTAAATCCCGACCTACTTCGTAGTTTCAAGTATTACACCCGTTTTAGGTAAGGTTAAATATATGATGTCCACCCCCCCCCCCC